GTGTGTGTGTGTGTGTGTGTGTGTGTGTGTGTGTGTGTGTGTGTGTGTACAACTTGTGCCAGTCAGTTCTCTCCTTCCACCCTGTGGGTGTTAGGCTTGGACTCAGGTTTGGTGGCAGGTGACCTGAACCCGCTGAGCCATCTTGCTGGCCATCAGCTTCTAGTTCAGTGGAAGCTTTGGTTGCAGTTCCTGGAAATGCCCTCATACCCTAGAACCAAAACTTCTAGGCTGACAGAGCATAAAGTCACAGGAAGAGAGCTGTGGGTGCTCACTCTCCAGATCGCTTTTGTCACCATGCTGAGGGGCCGTTTTGTAAGTTTGTTTGTTCTCATATTCCAAGACCCAGCTGTTTTGATCCTGTGTCATGCCCTGATGTCTCACCCTACAGAGCCACGTCTAAGAATCTTTCCACAGAAGTCAGCTTTCTTCAATGGTGTCGTTTCCCAACCGAGAAGCCTTCCTGCTGCAGGCCAGCTGAAATCACACACCCACTCCCTTCAGGACGTTACAGCAGAGTATCCAGACTCAAGCTAGACTGCCACTTACTAGCTGTGGGACCTTGCTAGTCACCCAAGTTCGCTGTGCCTCAGAATTCTCCTCTGTGAAATGCAACAATCTCAGGGCTAAATAGATCAGTCCACGTACCACACAGAGCCTGGCACCCAGGGTTTGTTACTGTCAGCTCATTCTCCTTCCCACCATTGTTTTCTCTTCTCCTCCGCCCCCTCCGCCTGAAACTATATTTAAATCTCTCTGTTCTGTCCACAGGACGACAGAACACTCTAACCACCAAAACCTCGGTCCTCTGCCTACTTCACCTTGTCTCGTTTACTGGCAAAATAACTGAAAGAGGAGAAGTGTGTCTCCATTACCTCAAGTCCCATTAATGCCTCAACCCATTATACTGCTTTATGGTTTCCATTCTGCGCTGGCCCAGCCGCTCACAGAGCTCACTGTCAGCAAAGTCACTAATGACTGCCTAAAGCGCCAAAGGTCTGAGTGTTATCCCATCTGAGTGGCTGGAGCACTCAGAGCTGGGGTCACCCCCTCCTTACTGCGCTGGCCTCCTTGTTATCTGCTCAGAGACACCAACATCACTCCTAGCTGCCCCTCCCCCACAGCTTGGCCTTGAACACCTCATCTTCTTGGGTGCTGGGATCACAGGCATGTGCCACCACACCTAGCTTACGACTTAGGTCTTGTGAAACTTTTTTTTTAATATAGTAGTGGTCAGGGCATTATTCACTTGGGTGTCCATCCCAGCTGCTGGTCACAGAAGACTCACCTGAGCGCTTGGCTTCCTGTAGCATGCAGTTAGGAAGCACATTTGAAGATGCTCTGTTCTGGCATGGAGGCACTTTTCCTTCATAAATGGTGGTTTTATTCCATCTTTTCTAATGGAAATAGCTTTACTTGGGCAGCAATTGCCTTCCCTAATGTCTTCTTTTCCTTGCCACAGCCCTCATCTTCTATTTAAAGCTTTCTTTGGAGCGTTTTTTTCTGGGTCTTTTTTTTTTTTTTATTTGTGAGTGCCCCCTACCTGCAGGGACTTTTAAGAGATGAATCTTGGTCCACTTTACTCTCTTACTGAGATCTCATCCATTACCTCTGCCTTTCCACTCCAGCTCAAGGATGCTTCGGTGTCTTGATTCCCTGGAGGCTTTCCACACTGTGCACCGAGGCTCAACCCTCTCTAAACCTGCTCTTTCACCAGTGCTGTCCTGAGTCACTGCCTACCCATCACCAGGCGCTTTCCCTGCTCATCCCAGCAGCTCCCGTGAGCTTGTACCCTGTGCTCTTTGCTATTTGCTGGGAATCACACCCTGAGGCCACGGTACAGCTCTCTGCCTCTAGCTTTGTGTAACCGGTTGGAGGCTCAGTAAATGCTGGGTGAGCATTAGTGACTACTGGCCCCTCGCTTACCTATCTCACTCACCCTCTACACAGGAGTCCTTGGAGGAAAGCAATGGAGGCTGCTGCTCTGTGCCCTGCATAGGTAAAGGTTATACCGGAAGGAAGAAAGATAAGCCACAAAGTGCTGGCCTAGATTCACACGGTGTGGGCTGGAGCCCCAACGTGTCCAGTTCACCTTGCACCCCTGTACTGCTGCACTGCCTTCTTTCTCTTCCTTTTCTTGTTCCCTTCCTGCTCCTTAGAGGTACTTTCCTCTTCAGTGCACTGATGTTGGCAAGGGCCAGGGTCATGGACTCCATTCCACAAATGAAGGAGCAAGTCCAGAGAAGGGTACACAGAGCCAGACCAAGGGAGCCCTGCTTTCCCTGGAGAGTGTAGTGGCAGCCTAACACCCAGCCACAGTGGGGCAGGCCTAGGGAAGTTGGGGCAGGTGGCAGTGGAGCTGGCAAGTGCTGTGAGAGCCTGAGAGTATACCCAGAACTGTAGAGAGACTCCAGGGCTGGCTAGGAGCTGGAGACACACCCTCCCCAGGGACTCTTTCCGGGCAACCCTGTGCCTGCGCTCGAGGGGCAAAAACAGCAGTGCAGACGTGAGAGTATCCAGATATTTCTCTTATATTAGGTTGGGCTGCAGCAGGCAGCTGATGCAGAGATGGCGGGGGCAGGGGTGAGTGGGGGCTGGAGATGATGACACTGCAGATGCTCTGATGCCATCAAGTACAAACCTGGTAGACACCTGGATGCCAGGCCCTCTGGGTGGCCAGCAATGACAGTTGCTCAGGCCTGAATCCTCAGAAGTGTCAGCTGTTCTAGAGAGGGAGAGGCTGAGGCTGGCTGGCCTGCCTTGGCCCTCTGCTCCTTGGTAGGATGTTCATGGAGGGTGGAAAAGGCACAGTAGAGACGAAGGGAGGGGGCAGGTGGAGGAAAAGGCAGTGCAGACAGAAAGTCAGCCAAAGGCAGACAGGCCTGACCTGGAAGCTGGTCGGGTGGCCCACAGGCCTTCCTGCCACCTGGCTTTTCTTTGATATCACTAGTGAGTTTTCAGAAAAGGGAAGTGGGTAGAGACACCACGCAAACTGGTTTCAAACTGCGCGCTTCCTTCTCACCCACCTTTTCCCTTTCCTCCACAATGCTATGCCTCCCTCCTCTGCTCTAATCCTGAGGCCTTCTTCACGATTCAAGCAGGTCAGGTGTGGACTGAAACCCCAGAGGGAACTGGGGAGGGGGAATCTGGTCTCATACAAAAGACCCAGAACCCTGGGGACCTGAGGGGCCTACCCAGGGACTCAGTCTATCATCAGTGTCACGGTAGCAGTAAACGTCCATTAAGGGAAAACTATTTCCTTCTGGCCAAGACATAAACTCTCTGGCCTGGGTGGAAATCCAGCATTCCAGCTGGGCAATTCAATCCCTGGACTAAGGGACCATCAGTAGGAAGGCAGGTGTTCTGTAAGCCACGCTAAGGGGACAGGAGGAACAGTTCTCCCCTTCATGAGATGATGCCATTTCCTTCCCGGAATTCACACCCCCCTAGAGCAGTTGGCTTTTCCTCAGTAACGTGTACCTCTCCTTATTTCTATCATTGTTCTAAGCAACCTTTCTTTAAAAATCCAGCTTTCCTTACTCTGACTCTGAAGCATGCATGTCCTTTCCTTTTAGCCATTTGGCTGCATGTCTGGTCCAACTCAAATGGCAGCTGCTGAGAATTACAGCTTGCCTGCTTTGGGGTTTTTCTTTTAAATGCTAATAAAATTGTCCTCTGTCAGAATCAGGTGCTGTCACTTTCATGGAGAGCTGTGAGGAGAAAATGAGGAAGCCTGGTTGTCCCTTCTTGACAGAGGGAGCTGCTTCTTTTGTGCTCTTGAGCATCTCTAGACACATTTTCCTCCCAGATCTGGCACAGGGAAGTGCCCTGGTGCAGCTAAGCAGGGACCAGGCCACCCTGGACAGTGGACATTTGGAGGTGCCCATGCAGTCCTTCTTTGGCTACAGGAAAGGCTTTAGGGTGGGAAGGTGGGTGCTGTCATATCCCTCAGGGTCAGAAAGCCCCCTCAGCAAAGTTGGGTCCCCTTTGCCCTCCAGTGGAGTGTGTCAGAGCAGTGACGTCAGGCTGGGGTAAGGAGACAGGGTTCTAGTTCCCTTTTCTGAGGAAGCTCTGCATGTAAGCCTAGGCCGATGCAGACCCGGTATTGTCAGTGTCTCACCAAAGTCCCTCACTGAGCCCAGGCTGCCCAGAGAGGCTGGGCCTGTCTCTCCACGGGTGCCTCCCCTTTCCCATTCCTCCACTTGTAGAGGTTGTGACTAGTGGTTAGCTCTGGGGGCGGGGAATTCTGTGTTCTAGGCATTTCTATTTTCCACCATCAGTATAAACGGCTTCTGTGACTGAGAAAGAAACAACAGAGTGGGGTTTTGCTGTTATTTGTAAGTTGTGCTAACAGATAAATGAGTGAATGGGCACAGAGAAAGAGACAGAGAGGCACCTGGCTGAACAACCACAGCAGGACCCGGAGCGTGTGTGGGTCAGCGTTGCATACGCAGTGAGAAATGCACAAATGGTGACGCAGTGGTAACAGGCCCTCCAACTCCCTGTGGTCGCCGGTGTCCCTCAGCCCCAGATGCCACGCATCATAGGGGAACTCAGGGTCTGCCAACTACAAGCCATAGCACTCGTTCAGCAGGACGCCTTTATTGAGAGGTGTCTTAGTGTCACGCTGGTGGGCCCACGGGACATGTGCACCTGGCTGAACGGTGTAGGCCTCTGGCTGTTAGAAGGGACGGGAGCTACTGGTACCCTAGGAGTCTGGCATCCTGTGCTGACCATGGCAGGAGGGTCGGTGACAGCGAGAACCCACCACCAAGCAAGGGGCCTGTTGAGATGCGCAATGAGGTCCATGCGATGCGGTGAGGCAGAAAGGGCTTGTTTGGAAAGGGCAGCTGCCAGGACAGCACGCGGGCACCCACCCACGGAGGTCACCCCTGTGGCCTCTTACAGGCAGGGTCCTGTGTCACAGACAGGGCCACGCACCCTTGTCCTCGGTCCCACATGTACCTGTGAAGACACAGATAGGCAAGCATCAGGCCAGGCCAGAGCCCGGGGATGCCAGGCAAAAGGGGTCAGCCTCAGCATTTCAAAGCCCTTGACTATACTCACGAAGTCCCAGCAGGCACCAACAGGCTGTCATCTGGGTCCAGGCTCACACACTGTCCTGCCATCGTCACCTTAGAGGAGCCCTCCTGTGAAAGGGCAGCAGAGTCAAGTGGAGGCTGAGGAGACTGAACTCCAGGCCAGCCTGAGCAGCTTAGCGAGCCCCTGTCTGGAAATAAGAAAAAGTGTGTGTGCGCGTGGGCACACGGCAGGGGTGAGGGGGTTCAGTGGTAGAGCTCTTGCCTTGCAGGAGGCCCTAAGTTCCAGCCCCAACACCACAAAAACAAAACAGAACAGCAAAAGAGGGTTCGGGAACTGCCAGGTCTCTAAGCCTGCTTTAATGAGAGTTCTGTGGGAGCCTGAGGTCCAGGGAGATGATGCCCATGGACAAGAAGTTGTGCCACCCTGTCCTGGGATCCCACTTGCCAGCTGCCACAGCCACACGTCCACATCCTGTTTCAGGCCTTTGCTGCTACCTTGTCCGTGGGCGATGACCTGGTGGGAGACAAAACAAGTTTTTTGGGGGGATCCTGCCCAATTTGGGAGATGGTCCTAACCCTGGTCCTCAACCACTATGACTCTTAAGGGGCAAGACATGACCGTTGCCACAGCCTCACCCCCCATGTGGCAACCGTTACTTGTCAGGGACCAGAAAGGGAGGCCTCCCTGCCTCCACCATCCTGCTACCTCTTCGTTATTCACAGTCACACACGTGGGCCCTCTGCCATTCCTGCTTATGCACGTCACCAGCCCACACACAGACATGCCCACCCCAGCTCCTCGGATCTCCACCACCCTTCTTGTGAGGTGTTCAGAGTGTGACCTGAGAAGAAAGAGCTTAAGGCTGAGGCCTGTCTGCCCTGTGTTCACGGAGGGCCTGTGCTCCTGCTGGCTGTAAGGAGGGATTAATGGATATTTGCTGTGGAAAAGCAGAGCAGATAGACAAGGGGTGGGAGGAAGCCATTGCCTACAGCAGTGGTGGGTGGAAGGGGGGCTTCAGGTTTTGTGTCCCATTATTGCGGCCCTCCATAAGCTTTGGGTGTCCCTGGTACCAAAAGAGGAGTCCAAGCCTATACTCTGTAAGCCTTCTGCCCTGGAGTGACTACTGTTCGTCCTTCCTTCCTTCCTTCCTTCCTTCCTTCCTTCCTTCCTTCCTTCC